GACTGACCACCTTCTATCAAGACTGAGAGACTGACCACCTTCTATCAAGACTGAGGGACTGACCACCTTCTATCAAGACTGAGGACTGACCACCTTCTATCAAGACTGAGGGACTGACCACCTTCTATCAAGACCGAGGGACTGACCACCTTCTATCAAGACTGAGGGACTGACCACCTTCTATCAAGACTGAGGGACTGACCACCTTCTATCAAGACTGAGGGACTGACCACCTCTATCAAGACTGAGGGACTGACCAACTTCTATCAAGACTGAGGGACTGACCACCTTCTATCAAGACTGAGGGACTGACCACCTTCTAACAAGACTGAGAGACTGACCACCTTCTATCAAGACTGAGGGACTGACCACCTTCTATCAAGACTGAGGGACTGACCACCTTCTATCAAGACTGAGGGACTGACCACTATCTATCAAGACTGAGGGACTGACCACCTTCTATCAAGACTGAGGGACTGACCACCTTCTATCAAGACTGAGGGACTGACCAACTTCTATCAAGACTGAGGGACTGACCACCTTCTATCAAGACTGAGGGACTGACCACCTTCTATCAAGACTGAGGGACTGACCACCTTCTATCAAGACTGAGGGACTGACCACCTTCTAACAAGACTGAGAGACTGACCACCTTCTATCAAGACTGAGGACTGACCACCTTCTAACAAGACTGAGAGACTGACCACCTTCTATCAAGACTGAGGGACTGACCACCTTCTATCAAGACTGAGGGACTGACCACCTTCTAACAAGACTGAGAGACTGACCACCTTCTATCAAGACTGAGGGACTGACCACCTTCTATCAAGACTGAGAGACTGACCACCTTCTATCAAGACTGAGGGACTGACCACCTTCTATCAAGACTGAGGGACTGACCACCTTCTAACAAGACTGAGAGACTGACCACCTTCTATCAAGACTGAGGGACTGACCACCTTCTATCAAGACTGAGGGACTGACCACCTTCTATCAAGACTGAGGGACTGACCACCTTCTATCAAGACTGAGGGACTGACCACCTTCTATCAAGACTGAGGGACTGACCAACTTCTATCAAGACTGAGGGACTGACCACCTTCTATCAAGACTGAGGGACTGACCACCTTCTAACAAGACTGAGAGACTGACCACCTTCTATCAAGACTGAGGGACTGACCACCTTCTAACAAGACTGAGAGACTGACCACCTTCTATCAAGACTGAGAGACTGACCACCTTCTAACAAGACTGAGAGACTGACCACCTTCTATCAAGACTGAGAGACTGACCACCTTCTATCAAGACTGAGGGACTGACCACCTTCTATCAAGACTGAGAGACTGACCACCTTCTATCAAGACTGAGAGACTGACCACCTTCTATCAAGACTGACCGAATGACCACTTTCCATCAGGGCTGAGGAACTGACCACCTCAATATTACCTCCTTTCCAATTCCATAATCACCTATATTTGACTGACGAATCCTGCTGTTTAGATGAAACATTTCGTTACTAAATCATTCTTAAACATTGTCCATGTGTGTAGCTCATCAGTCTTATTATGGTTATCCTGATCATGTTCGTTCCTTGGCCTCCTGTTGTTTGGCGAAGGGTTGTATATTAAGAACACAAGAAAGAAGGATCACTGCAGTAGGCCTACTGGTCCATGCGAGGCAGGTCCAAGTCACCTCCCGGCTTAAACCAAAGACCCAACCTAGTCGAGTTAGATCATATCCACTTAAGAAGAACGGCATCTGACATAGTAGCATAAGCTAGTCAGGTCCAACTCACACCCATGCCCACCCATTTATATATTTATCTAACCTATTTTTAAAACTACACAACGTTTTAGCCTCAATAACTGTACTTGGGAGTTTGTTCCACTCATCCACAACTCTATTACCAACTTAAAACCATTGCTACGAGTCCTGTCTTGGCTGGAAATTTTCAGCACGCTGTTTACATCCCCTTTATTTATTCCTGTTTTCCATTTATACACCTCAATCATATCCCCCCTAATTCTACGTCTTTCTAGAGAGTGCAGATTCAGGGCCTCAGTCTATCCTCATAGGATAGACAGGGCCCTAAGTCTGTCCTCGTAGGATAGACAGTACCTCAGTCTATCCTCATAGGATAGACAGGGCCCTAAGTCTGTCCTCGTAGGAGAGACAGGGCCCTAAATCTGTCCTCGTAGGATAGACAGGGCCCTAAGTCTGTCCTCGTAGGATAGACAGGGCCCTAAGTCTGTCCTCGTAGGATAGACAGGGCCCTAAATCTGTCCTCGTAGGATAGACAGGGCCCTAAGTCTGTCGTCGTAGGATAGACAGGGCCCTAAGTCTGTCGGCGTAGGATAGACAGGGCCCTAAGTCTGTCCCCGTAGGATAGACACTACCTTAGTCTATCCTCATAGGGAAGATTTCTGATACATTGGATCAACTTTGTCATCCTCCTCTGTACGTTGTCCAGAACATTTATATCCATTCTGTAATACTGTGACCAAAACTGAGCAGCATAGTCTAAATGAGGCCTAACCTCACGACTCCTGTTATAGGCCTAACCAAGGATATATAAAGTTGAAGAACAACCTGAGGACTTCTATTATTTATACTTCTAGATATAAAGCCAAGAATTCTGTTAACTTTATTGCCAACACTAATGTACTGTTGTCTTGGTTTTAAATTACTGCTAACCAGAACTCCTAAATCCTTTTCGCAATCAGTATTTATTGTTTGGTTCCTTCCTGAGTTTCGTCTCTCATCAATTCTCAACAATCAATTCTCATCATTCTCATCAATTCTTATCAATTCATCAGAGATTTATCAGATATGAGGTATATGCCTTGAACTCTCAAAATATATACTCTGGTGCAGGGGGAGTTGAATGACAGCTCTAGGCCTTTCCTGTTGCAATCAACACACCAGGAGCTTGCAATGTTGCTAAAATGAGTAGAAGTGCAAGAAGTTACGTTCAGAGGAACGTTGTAGCTTGAATAAACTAATGTACCTGGACTTCCTACTCATTTCTGCAACATTGTAAGCTCCTAATGTGTTGATTGCAACACGAAAGGCCTAGAGCTATCATTCAACTTCCCCTGTGGTTGTTTTTATCTTGTTTTCCATCCCTTTGCATATATATATATTATATATATATATATATATATATATATATATATATATATATATATATATATATATATATATATGCACACAGTATATATATACTCTGGTGTATCTGGACTCGCGAGTACTTGACAGATGCAGTATTGTGTTAACTTCAAGTACTAACACAGAGTACTGGAGTCTGGTTGATTCCTGGTGGGGTCGCCGCCCCCTTGGATTGACCCCCCTTAACCCTCCACCCAGGAGATGACCTACCAGGTCAACCAGACGCTGATCCACCACTAGATCTGGTCATGGACCGGTCCATGACCAGAATGCCCTCCAGGTAGACTCCTATGGTGTATTTCTACACCATAGGAAGGTTAGCATAGGCCACCACTGTGACCACAAAAACTGGAATTTGTGGTCACAGTGGTGGCCCATGCTGACCTTCCTATGGTGTATAAATATACCTAGTTAGATCAATCTTATTGTAGCCAGCTGGCCAAGTGGCTAACGCGTCGGTCTGGAGTTTTATAACTCTCTAGCCGCGGGTTCTAACCCTGCCCGTGGTATGGTTTGTTTCACTATCTGATGAGCATGTTGATGCTTTGCTCTCGTGTATGGCTTGCTGCACATGTATACCAGTGGTGGTATACACCGATATGTATGATCATACTTGAAAATTGAGAAAGAATTCTTTCCTGGACGATAGAATGACGTGATGAATGAGACACACATCTACTCTAGACGTTTCCCTACTGGATGGGCGAAACGTCTACAGTAAAGGTGCCCAGATGTTGCACTTGTGTCTGATTCGTCATATGTATGACATAATAAGAGACTGTGGTTAGTTAACGGAGTTTCAAGACTATCTACTACACGAGGGTCATTAAGGCTGCATGTCACCTGTACTCCACCAGTCAAGTATACTTTAATACCTAAAATAGTATATACACTGAGATATACCTACCTCAGTGAATATACATTGAGATATACCCCTTTCGGTTTATGTACATTGAAGGTATACCACTCTCGGTGTATATACACTGACATATACCCCTCTGGTGTATATATATTGAAGGTATACCACTTGGTGTATATACAGGGCCACGTCATACATCCCTCTAGTACCGTGTATATATACTGAGTGCCACGTCATACATACCTCTAGTACCGTGTATATACACTGAGTGCCACGTCATACATACCTCAAGTACCGTGTATATACACTGAGTGCCACGTCATATATACCTCTAGTATCGTGTATATACACTGAGTGCCACGTCATACATACCTCTAGTATCGTGTATATACACTGAGTGCCACGTCATATATACCTCTAGTATCGTGTATATACACTGAGTGCCACGTAATACATCCCTCTAGTATCGTGTATATACACTGAGTGCCACGTCATACATACCTCAAGTACCGTGTATATACACTGAGTGCCACGTCATATATACCTCTAGTATCGTGTATATACACTGAGTGCCACGTCATACATACCTCTAGTACCGTGTATATACACTGAGTGCCACGTCATACATACCTCTAGTATCGTGTATATACACTGAGTGCCACGTCATATATACCTCTAGTACCGTGTATATACACTGAGTGCCACGTCATATATACCTCTAGTACCGTGTATATACACTGAGTGCCACATCATATATACCTCCAGTACCGTGTATATACACTGAGTGCCACGTCATATATACCTCTAGTACCGTGTATATACACTGAGTGCCACGTCATATATACCTCTAGTACCGTGTATATACACTGAGTGCCACGTCATATATACCTCTAGTACCGTGTATATACACTGAGTGCCACGTCATATATACCTCTAGTATCGTGTATATAACTGTGTTATCTGTCACCAACAGCTCTGGACACTAGTAATGTCACCATCAAGAAGCAAGTGTTTGAGCTGTTGTCGGCCCTGTGTGTCTACAATGTCGACGGCTACAACAGAGCTATCGACGCTCTGGAACACTATAAGGTTAGTTGTATGACTCTATCTCGTTGTATGACTCTATCTCGTTGTATGACTCTATCTCGTTGTATGACTCTATCTCGTTGTATGACTCTATCTCGTTGTATGACTCTATCTCGTTGTATACTCTGTAAGGTTAGTGCCTAACTCTGTGTAACGTTAGTGCCAGACTCTACTATGTAACGTTACTGCCTGACTCTGTGTAACGTTACTGCCTGACTCTGTGTAACGTTACTGCCTGACTCTGTGTAACGTTACTGCCTGACTCTGTGTAACGTTACTGCCTGACTCTGTGTAACGTTACTGCCTGACTCTGTGTAACGTTACTGCCTGACTCTGTGTAACGTTACTGCCTGACTCTGTGTAACGTTACTGCCTGACTCTGTGTAACGTTACTGCCTGACTCTATTTTGTAACGTTACTGCCTGACTCTATTATGTAACGTTACTGCCTGACTCTATTATGTAACGTTACTGCCTGACTACTACAGTACCTGCACTCTGAAGGATGAGTGAGGATGTTACAGTACTGGAGGTGGGAAGTACAGTACCTGCACTCTGAAGGATGAGTGAGGATGTTACAGTACTGGAGGTGGGAAGTACAGTACCTGCACTCTGAAGGATGAGTGAGGATGTTACAGTACTGGAGGTGGGAAGTACAGTACCTGCACTCTGAAGGATGAGTGAGGATGTTACAGTCCTGGAGGTGGGAAGTACAGTACCTGCACTCTGAAGGATGAGTGAGGATGTTACAGTCCTGGAGGTGGGCAGTACAGTACCTGCACTCTGAAGGATGAGTGAGGATGTTACAGTCCTGGAGGTGGGAAGTACAGTACCTGCACTCTGAAGGATGAGTGAGGATGTTACAGTACTGGAGGTGGGCAGTACAGTACCTGCACTCTGAAGGATGAGTGAGGATGTTACAGTCCTGGAGGTGGGAAGTACAGTACCTGCACTCTGAAGGATGAGTGAGGATGTTACAGTCCTGGAGGTGGGAAGTACAGTACCTGCACTCTGAAGGATGAGTGAGGATGTTACAGTACTGGAGGTGGGCAGTACAGTACCTGCACTCTGAAGGATGAGTGAGGATGTTACAGTCCTGGAGGTGGGAAGTACAGTACCTGCACTCTGAAGGATGAGTGAGGATGTTACAGTCCTGGAGGTGGGAAGTACAGTACCTGCACTCTGAAGGATGAGTGAGGATGTTACAGTACTGGAGGTGGGCAGTACAGTACCTGCACTCTGAAGGATGAGTGAGGATGTTACAGTACTGGAGGTGGGCAGTACAGTACCTGCACTCTGAAGGATGAGTGAGGATGTTACAGTACTGGAGGTGGGCAGTACAGTACCTGCACTCTGAAGGATGAGTGAGGATGTTACAGTACTGGAGGTGGGAAGTACAGTACCTGCACTCTGAAGGATGAGTGAGGATGTTACAGTCCTGGAGGTGGGAAGTACAGTACCTGCACTCTGAAGGATGAGTGAGGATGTTACAGTCCTGGAGGTGGGCAGTACAGTACCTGCACTCTGAAGGATGAGTGAGGATGTTACAGTCCTGGAGGTGGGCAGTACAGTACCTGCACTCTGAAGGATGAGTGAGGATGTTACAGTCCTGGAGGTGGGCAGTACAGTACCTGCACTCTGAAGGATGAGTGAGGATGTTACAGTACTGGAGGTGGGAAGTACAGTACCTGCACTCTGAAGGATGAGTGAGGATGTTACAGTACTGGAGGTGGGCAGTACAGTACCTGCACTCTGAAGGATGAGTGAGGATGTTACAGTCCTGGAGGTGGGCAGTACAGTGACTGTATTTTGTCGTCCCACTGACTGTAGCACATTCTAATAGTTTGTATTGGGCTTATGCCTTTCCAACCGTTTTCATGGATTTTATTATTACCGAGGTGACTGTAGAGACCTCGATGAACTTTATGCGGTACCCAAGTGTTTCACAAGTGTCTAAGTTATCAATTTGTCTTTTCTCCAGACCATTAATCAACTTACTGATCAAACCCATGCCTTCCCTCTCATATATTTATCCAATCCCTTCTTAAAGCTACCGTAGATCTTAGCCTCAATCACCCTACTCGGAAGATTGTTCCACCGAGAGAGCTGATATCCAGAATTAAACCAAAGGCTTGTTTTCCATCCTCATCTCTGGACAGGTGCTGAAGGCTGAGAGGTACCGCTTCAAGGTGGTAGTAGAGGAACTGAAAGCCGCCTCGACTTCAGAGTACCACACTGCTCTTGTCGCTTTCATCAACTGTCTGGTCATCTCTACACCTCACCTCAAGGATCGTATCAGAATCAGGAACGAGTTTATCGGTGAGTTGATCCCTTTGTTTACATTTGCGTCGTCTTCAAGTTATGTCCTTGTATTGAAAGTCAGTGGATGGTGATAATTCTATAAGAGAGATGCCCAGATGTTGTACATGTGTCTTTATATGTATAACAAAATAACAGATTATGGTTAGTTAATTGGGTTTCAAGACGGTCAAGACGGTCATTAAGGCCGCATGTCACCTGTTCACCAACAGTCAAGAATACTTTAATTCAAATAGTGAATTAAATTGTATATACACCAAGATATACCCCTCTCGGTGTATATACACTGAGATTTAGCCCTCTTGGTGTATATACACTAAGATATACCCCTTTCGGTGTATATAGACTGAGATATACCACTTTCCATCGTGTCGGTACTGTGTACCATACTTGTATAGTTTGTGTTGTTGTCTAGACAGGTCATCATAAGATTTACACCCGTGCCATGACGCCGGTCTGTGCCAACACTATACATACTTCGTTTGTGTTTAACTTTGTTCTTGCGTGAAGCGCTAAGCCCGTGTGGGCCGCTCAGAGCGAGTACTGGAGGCTCGATTCTCAGTCTGCTAAGTCCGATAAGTTGACGATTAAGCCACATGTGCAACAGTTGGGATCTGTTGTTGGAACGTTCCGCCAACACGGTAGCAGTGAAGAAGGTCTGGTAGATGTCCTCTGAACCAAGATTCCTTTCTTGCACAACTTGTCAGACACTGCAACATCATGGAATCTTAGTTCAGAGGACATCTACAACACCTTCTTCACGGCTGCTGCAACTAACCCATCCCTTTGGGTAGGACCTACTTCCACTGGGAAATCCCGCCTACCAGTGACTATGCCCTCGTCTGCTACACGTCCCTATCCACTGACGCCTATATAAACGCCAGTCTCCTTGCCTCTGCTTCAGAATCTCCACGACTACGGTGCTCTCAACACCAACTCCAAGGCTGAGGGACTTATTAACTCATCCTTAGTATATAGTTCTACTGTCTTCTAATTATGTCCTAGAATCTGTATTGATAAAGCCACTGGATGGCGAAACGTCTACAATAAAGATACCCAGAAGTTGCACATGTGTCTTAACTTTCAATTGTCGGTATTTTATACCATTCTTGCATAACTTTAAGAAGAAAGAGTGGACCTAGTACCGACCAGTGAAGAGTAGAGGACTAAAGGAATGTGTAATGTGTGTACGTTCTTCGAGGAACTTCGAACTCAGGAAAATACAATACCTCTCTCTGAGTTCTGGTGTCCTGGTGACAGAAGAAATGTACAAGATCGTTCTCGTAGGTCGGCTTACTGAAGACTTCGAAAGTCTGTCTTTACCTGTGGGTAGGAGAACGTCGAGAAAAAGTAATTGATTATTCTTCTCCTAGAGTGTAAATTTAATTAGAGCTTCCAGAGAGCTGATGGTGTTGATGTAACACACATCTAGATTCTTGGGTACAGTGACCAAAATATCAACGTACTGCATCAGTGAAGCTGACCAAGGGATGGTATCTAAGATCCGTCTGGATTCTAGGTCCTCCATGTATAAATTAGCAAGTACTCCACGAAGGGGTGAACCCATGACCAGTCCGAACTCTTGGTTACCTTTGTTCTCATCAAATCTAAATCAGTTACAACGAACATATAATCCAACAAGGCTCTCAAAATCATTTTAATAAATGTTAAGAACTATGCATAAGTGTCTTCGTCCATATATTATAAGTGTTACCAGGCAGGCACTATGGGCCTATGGCACTGTCATGCCCAGCACTGTGCCACAGAGTCACCAAGTTTCTCCTCTCTCTCTCTCCCTATCTTTCATTTCAGTCATAGACATGACTATAACATTTATGCACTGTCATCAAAATTAGCAGCTTAGGCCTCGTTGTAAATTTAAAAATATTTTTTTTTAATAGACATATGTTTTTTATGAGGTAGTAATATTGGATTCTTTCTGTCTCTTCCATAGGTCTAAAAGTACTGGAGGTCATCAATAGATTAAGGTAAGTCTCGAGTATCAGGTAAATTATAATACCTGAGTATATAGGCTGGGAGGTGTATATACACTGGGAGGCGTTTATATACACTGGGAGGTGTATACACTGGGAGGTGTATACACTGGGAGGTGTATACACTGGGAGGTGTATACACACACTGGAAGGTGTATATATACACTGGAAGGTGTATATATACACTGGAAGGTGTATATATACACTGGAAGGTGTATATATACACTGGAAGGTGTATATATACACTGGAAGGTGTATATATACACTGGAAGGTGTATATATACACTGGAAGGTGTATATATACACTGGAAGGTGTATATATACACTGGAAGGTGTATATACAACGTCTGTTGTATTTTTTTTATTGAACTAACTAAAATATTCTTGATATATACACAACACTGTGAGACTCCAAGCGGACATCAACCAAATCTTCGAATGGGTCACTCAGAACAATATGAAGTTCAACGAGGAGAATTTTCAACTACTCAGATATGGGAAACTTGAAGAAATTAAAATGTATCAGGGTATACCACAAATTCTAACCTTACATTAGAGCGGAAAAGTAATGTGAAGGATCTGGGAGTGATAATGTCAGAGGATCTCACCTTCAAAGACCACAACAATGTATCTACCGCATCTGCCAGGTAAATGATAGGATGGATAACGAGAACCTTCAAAACTAGGGACACCATGCCCATGATGATTCTCTTAAAATCACTTGTACTCTCTAGGCTGGAATATTGCTGTACACTAACTGCCCCCTTCAAGGCTGGCGACATTGCAGACCTGGAGAATGTACAAAGAACTTTCACGGCACACATAAGTACGATAAAGCACCTAAATTACTGGGAACGGTTGAAGATCCTTGATTTGTATTCCCTGGAATGCAGGCGAGAGAGATACATGATGATATACACTTGGAAGGTCCTGGAGGGATTGCTACCAAACTTGAACGCGAAAATCACTCCCCATGAAAGCAAAAGACTCGGCAGGAGATGCAACATTCCCCCGATGAAAAGCAGAGGCTCCACGAGTACACTGAGAGACAACACAATAAGTGTCCAGGGTCCAAGACTGTTCAACTGCCTCCCAGCATATATAAGGGAGATTATCAATAGACCTCTGGCTGTTTTCAAGACCCCTGGTTGTCTTCAAGACCCCTGGCTGTCTTCAAGACCCCACGCTGTCTTCAAGACCCTTGGCTGTCTTCAAGACCCCACGCTGTCTTCAAGACCCTTAGCTGTCTTCAAGACCCCTGGCTGTCTTCAAGACCCCACGCTGTCTTCAAGACCCTTGGCTGTCTTCAAGACCCCTGGTTATCTTCAAGACCCCTGGCTGTCTTCAAGACCCCACGCTGTCTTCAAGACCCTTGGCTGTCTTCAAGACCCCTGGCTGTCTTCAAGACCCCTGGCTGTCTTCAAGACCCCTGACTGTCTTCAAAGACTCCTGGTTGTCTTCAAGATCCCTGGCTGTCTTCAAGACCCCTGGTTGTCTTCAAGACCCCTGACTGTCTTCAAGACCCCTGGTTGTCTTCAAGACCCCTGACTGTCTTCAAAGACCCCTGGCTGTCTTCAAGACCCCTGGCTGTCTTCAAGACCCCTGGCTGTCTTCAAAGACCCCTGGCTGTCTTCAAGACCAGTGGCTGTCTTCAAAGACCCCTGGTTGTCTTCAAGACCCCTGGTTGTCTTTAAGACCCCTGGCTGTCTTCAAGACCCCTGGTTGTCTTCAAGACCCCTGGTTGTCTTCAAGACCTCTGGTTGTCTTCAAGATCCCTGGCTGTCTTCAAGACCCCCTGACTGTCTTCAAGACCCCTGGTTGTCTTCAAGACCCCTGGTTGTCTTCAAGACCTCTGGTTGTCTTCAAGATCCCTGGCTGCCAAGACCCCTGGTTGTCTTCAAGACCCCTGGTTGTCTTCAAGACCCTTGGCTGTCAAGACCCCTGGTTGTCTTCAAGACCCCTGGTTGTCTTCAAGATCCCTGGCTGTCAAGACCCCTGGTTGTCTTCAAGATCCCTGGCTGTCAAGACCCCTGGTTGTCTTCAAGATCCCTGGCTGTCAAGACCCCTGGTTGTCTTCAAGACCCCTGGTTGTCTTCAAGATCCCTGGCTGCCAAGACCCCTGGTTGTCTTCAAGACCCCTGGTTGTCTTCAAGACCCTTGGCTGTCAAGACCCCTGGTTGTCTTCAAGACCCCTGGTTGTCTTCAAGATCCCTGGCTGTCAAGACCCCTGGTTGTCTTCAAGATCCCTGGCTGTCAAGACCCCTGGTTGTCTTCAAGATCCCTGGCTGCCAAGACCCCTGGTTGTCTTCAAGACCCCTGGTTGTCTTCAAGACCCTTGGCTGTCAAGACCCCTGGTTGTCTTCAAGACCCCTGGTTGTCTTCAAGATCCCTGGCTGTCAAGACCCCTGGTTGTCTTCAAGATCCCTGGCTGTCAAGACCCTTGGTTGTCTTCAAGAAGGCTCTGGATAGGTACCTGAAGTCAGTACTAACCAACCGGGCTGTGGTTCGTACGTCAGCTTGCGTGCGGCCAGCAGTAACAGCCTGGTTGATCAGACCCTGATCCACCATGAGGCCTGGTCTCAGACCGGGCCGCGGGGGCGTTGACCCCCGAAACCCTCTCCAGGTAAACTCCAGGTAACCCGCACATAGAAGACTGAAACTGTCGACAACGTATCGGTCCCACTTGGACCATTAACTAGTCGGGGCGAAACATCGCAGGTTATTTCTGTATTGTTCCAGTTAAGGTATTACCCTTTTTGTTCTATATTATTTATATAGGTGTAAGTGTATATAATTTATATAGGTGTAAGTGTATATTATTTTTCTTAAGATACAAGTGTAGTCCCGTAGCTGGGTTGGTAACGCACTTGCCTCACACACTGAGTGCCCTTGGTTCGATTCCCGGTATTGGTGGAAACTTGGGCGTGTTTCCTTAAGACACCTGTTGTCCCTGCTCACCTAGCAGTAAGTAGGTACCTGGATGTTAGTCACTTTACACCTGCTGTCATTGTTCACCTAGCAGTAAGTAGGTACCTGGATGTTAGTCACTTTACACCTGCTGTCAGTGTTCACCTAGCAGTAAGTATGTACCTGGGTGTTAGTTACACCTGCTGTCAGTGTTCACCTAGCAGTAAGTAGGTACCTGGGTGTTAGTTACACCTGCTGTCAGTGTTCACCTAACAGTAAGTATGTACCTGGGTGTTAGTTACACCTGCTGTCAGTGTTCACCTAGCAGTAAGTAGGTACCTGGGTGTTAGTAACACCTGCTGTCAGTGTTCACCTAGCAGTAAGTAGGTACCTGGGTGTTAGTTACACCTGCTGTCAGTGTTCACCTAGCAGTCAGTAGGTACCTGGGTGTTAGTTACACCTGCTGTCAGTGTTCACCTAACAGTATGTACCTGGGTGTTAGTTACACCTACTGTCAGTGTTCACCTAGCAGTCAGTAGGTACCTGGGTGTTAGTGGACTGGTGTGGGTGGCATCCTGGGGGACAAAATTAACCTAAGTTGTGGGAAATGCTCTACATAACCAGGAACTTTCTATATAGTATGTCATTGTTGTGAGCTATGGTCTGTATAAGTTGTACCATCTACTGGTAGAAATAATAATAATAATTATTATTATTATTATTATTATTATTATTATTATTATTATTATTATTATTACTATATAGTATGTCATTGTTGTGAGCTATGGTCTGTATAAGTTGTACCATCTACTGGTAGAAATAAACATTATTATTATTATTATTATTATTATTATTATTATTATTATTATTATTATTATTATTATTATTATTGCATTACTTAGAGATTGTTTACATTGAGAAGTATATACGTCTGTCTGTGTGTATAAACGTATGAGCATATATTCACATCTTCAAGAAGATACTGGACAAGTATCTTCACCAAGTGCTAGATCAACCAGGCTGTGGTAGATATGTGAGGCAGCAGGCCACCAGTAACAACAGCCTGGTTGACCACCCAAGCACCAGACGAGCCTGGACCATAAATGTTATCTGTACTCTTAGTTATTAAAGTTATATTGTAACGAGGTAGTTTAGGTTAGAATTGGTTAAGTTGGCGTAGTTTAACATAATTTTGTAATATATATATATACATAAATATTATATACATTCTAAACGGGAAAAATATAACAGAAGCCTTATAAACGGTTATTGGTGCCGTTGTTGTTATGGGTTTATAGGGCCACTGGCACCTTACACCGTATCGAGCTTACTGAAACATGCCTGTCGGAATGTGTTCTCAAAACGAAGACGGGTTGTTATATCTGCGTCGGGAGGTGTTTTTGACCCTCTCTGACGTTTTCCTCCCCTACAGGCAAGATGCGGTGACGGACTCTGACCTGGCGGTGCAGTTGGACGTCTTCGATGAGCAGCGAGAGACTGACGAAGCTCAGATCTCTGGTCCACACGGAGTCGATCTCAGTTCACACGTCGATGTTTTCTACGCCATCCTTAGACAGGTGAGGCACGGAGGACCTTTTTTCTTATTGTGTATAACTGGTGCCATATCAACCAGGCTTTGATGGATATGTTGGCCAGAGGACCACCAGCAGCAACAGCCTGGTTAACCAGGCAAGCACAGATAAGCCTGACCCAAGGCAGGGCTCTGAAAGTACATCAAGAGTGTTGCTACCTTATCTACCTGGCAATGTTGCCAGTAGAGCAACGAGCATAGGAGAATGGTGAAGTTTGAGGTAATCAGTCCCTTAGCCTGGAGTCGATGTAATCAGTCCCTCATCCTGGAGTCGATGTAATCAGTCCCTCAGCCTGGAGTAGATGTAATCAGTCCCTTAGCCTGGAGTCGATGTAATCAGTCCCTCATCCTGGAGTCGATGTAATCAGTCCCTCAGCCTGGAGTCGATGTAATCAGTCCCTCATCCTGGAGTCGATGTAATCAGTCCCTCAGCCTGGAGTCGATGTAATCAGTCCCTTAGCCTGGAGTCGATGTAATCAGTCCCTCAGCCTGGAGTCGATGTAATCAGTCCCTCATCCTGGAGTAGATGTAATCAGTCCCTCAGCCTGGAGTTGATATAATCAGTCCCTCATCCTGGAGTTGATGTAATCAGTCCCTCAGCCTGGAGTCGATGTAATCAGTCCCGCAGCCTGGAGTAGATGTAATCAGTCCCTCAGCCTGGAGTAGATGTAATCAGTCCCTCAGCCTGGAGTAGATGTAATCAGTCCCTCAGCCTGGAGTAGATGTAATCAGTCCCTCAGCCTGGAGTAGATGTAATCAGTCCCTCATCCTGGAGTCGATGTAATCAGTCCCTCATCCTGGAGTAGATGTAATCAGTCCCTCATCCTGGAGTCGATGTAATCAGTCTTGACAAGAATACAGCGTATGTGCGAAGAAGTTACTTAGTATAACTTCGCACATATGATGTATTCTTTTCTGGATTGAAGGACTGATTACATCGACTCCAGGCTATGGGACTAATTACCTCAATTCCTCCTGTTCTTCACCATTCTCCTTTGTATGGACTGATGAAGCCACTGTGTGGAGAAATGTTTCCCACAATAAAGATACCCAAACGTTGCACATGTGTCTAATTTATCAACTTGTCGGTTCTCTGAACCGACATAATTGATAATTGATAATTGATAAAGTCCCATCATGGGGCGATAAATCCCTTTTGTGTTCGAGTCGCGGAAAATAAACTGTGTAGTAATTAAGCCACTGATTAAGGAGGATTTGTTGTTTAAATCCTCCTTAATCCTTCTATATTAATATTGATAGAATTACAGACAATATGCTAGGTAAAAGGACACTAATACGACATTTTGATTGTGGCAACGTATCGCTCTCCAGGATTTTTGTCAAGCCGGTACATTACGGGGGCAAATGGGGTATATAGAGGTCTTAGAATAGGACCTCTATATACCCTCTGTGTCCTTGTATTGTCACATTAGTTGCAGATGTCGTTTTACCTAATACAAATATTCTGCAATAAGTCTTGCTGTGTGTCCGTGTTTGGCTGTCTGATAAGTTGTCTGGTGTTGGATCAGGTTGTGGAGACGCCTCAGGAGATTCCCTTTCTGAGCGTGTTGCAGCATTTGCTGAGAATTGATCCGAAGGAGCCAGTCAGCGATGTTATCTGGGACACGGCGGAGAAACTCCTGCACAGGGCAACCTTACTGGAAGATGCAAAGGACTCCGCCAGACTCCTGAGGGCGCCGTCACAGAAGTCACTTACTAAGCTGAAGGTGGGTGGGGATGCATCTAGGTGTCTCTGTTCCTGCCATCGCGATGATCCCAAGTCACGCAAACATTCCCTCAATCTCAACCTCAACTCCCAGCAGTCGTTGTCAACTCTGACGTCTCCTGTGACAGATCCATCACCTCTTCCACCTCCACTACCTGGAGGGCCTCCACCACCCCCACCTCCCCCCCCTTTGCCTCCTGGGAGTGGGCCACCACCTCCCCCTCCACCACCAGGTGGACCACCACCTCCACCCCCTCCACCTGGAGGGGGACCTCCATTACCTCCACCACCACCTGGTGTAAGGCCTCCTCCACCTCCAGGACCTCCGCCACCACCTGGAATCGCGACACAACAGCGACCTGAACCAGCTGAAGAGAAGGTGCGACTACCACAGATGGAGACACCAAAACCACGCTCCAAGATGAAAACCTTTAACTGGAATAAAATCCCCAACTCAAAGGTAAAGTAAACTACTTCCGTTATTATTCTCTCTATTTTCCATCCCATTCTCAGCCGGGTTGGCACGTTAGCGTTTTGTGTGCTAGATTTAACGCGTTTTAGAGTTTGTTTACTTCCTTTCTTAAAGCGTTGGAGTTGATTTAGGGCGTTTTGCAATCTAAAATATCTCAAAGCCTAGCTAAGTGTATATATGTAATAAACAAAAGCCCCCCCCCCCCAAAATGGCAGAAAAACAAAAGCGTAATGAATCTCACCAGGCAGTTTCTGATGTTCTGCTTAGACAGGTCCAGATCACGTACTGAACGTGACTCACACGACCTGAGTGACAGTGCCCTGGGCTGTGAACCTGTGACTGTGTGAAGCGTCTATCCCACCAGTTCGGCTTTTGTTCCGACTCGCTTGTGTTATCTGTTACTCTTACTGTTGATCTGCACTAACTCTATTATAAGCAAGAAATATACTCGGCATATCAGAAACAGTCAATTTCAGAAACAGTCAATTTCAGAAACAGTCAATTTCAGAAACAGTCAATTTCAGAAACAGTCAATTTCAGAAACAGTTTCAGAAACAGTTTCAGAAACAGTTTCAGAAACAGTCAATTTCAGAAACAGTTTCAGAAACAGTTTCAGAAACAGTTTCAGAAACAGTTTCAGAAACAGTCAATTCAGTTTATTAATGGATTTAAGTTAACATATTTCTGCCCTAAATCATTAGGTATAACTATTAAATATTATTCTGAGAGAGAAAAACTGATTGAAGTTACTTATTTAGACGTAACTGAACTGTGTGACTGGAGAGGTAAGCCAGTCGAAGGCTTCGGTCAGATGACTAAAAGCTCCACAAGCACAAGCTAGTCAGGTCTAACTCACACCCATGCCCACCCACTCATATATTTATCTAACTTATTTTTAAAACTACACAAGGTTTTAGCTTCTATAACTGTACTCGGGAGTTTGTTCCACTCATCCACAACTCTATTGCCAAACCAGTACTTTCCTATATCCTTCCTGAATCTGAATTTTTCCAACTTAAAACCATTGCTGCGAGTCCTGTCTAGGCTAGATATTTTCAGCACGTTATTTACATTCCCTTTATTTATTCCTGTTTTCCATTTATACACCTCAATCATATCCCCCCTAATTCTACGTCTTTCTAGAGAATGCAGATTCAGGGCCTCAGTCTATCCTCATAGGGAAGATTTCTGATACATGGGATCATCTTTGTCATCCTCCTCTGTATGTTTTCCAGAGCATTTATATCCATTCTGTAATACTGTGACCAGAACTGAGCAGCATAGTCTAAATGAGGCCTAACCTCACGACTCCTGTTATAGGCCTAACCAAGGATATATAGAGTTGAAGAACAACCTGAGGACTTCTATTATTTATACTACTAGATGTGAGACCAAGAATTCTGTTAACTTTATTGCCAACACTAATGCACTGTTGTCTTGGTTTTAGATTACTGCTAACCAGAACTACTAAATCTTTTTCACAGTCAGTAATATTAAGATCTACATTATTTAGTTTATATGTGGCATGGTTATTTACCTGTCCAACATTTAAAACTTTGCATTTGTCAACATTAAACTGCATCTGCCACTTCTCCGACCATTGCATCAGTCTATTCAAATCATCCTGGAGTGCTCTAGTGTCCTCATTAGAATGAATTGGACGGCCTATTTTGGTGTCATCAGCAAATTTGCTTATGTCGCTATTTATTCCCTCATCTATGTCGTTTATGTAAATTGTGAACAACAACGGGCCCAACACTGACCCCTGAGGAACACCGCTTGTGACGTGCCCCCATTCTAATTTCTCCCCATTTATGCAAAATCTCTGCTGCCTATTTGTCAGCCATGCCTCTATCCAGGAAAAAATTTCTCCTATTTTGTGTGCCTTAAGTTTCCTCAATAGCCTATGATGTGGAACTCTGTCAAAAGCCTTACTGAAGTCCATGTACACAATATCATATTTAATACCATGATCTACCTCCTCAAACACCTTAGTGAAGTAAGTTAGTAAATTCGTAAGACAGGAACGCCCCTTTGTAAAACCATGCTGAGATTCATTAATCAATCTGTGCCTGTCAAGATGGCTACGAATTGCTTCGGCAATTATTGATTCCATAAATTTTCCCACTATGGAGGTAAGGCTTATTGGTCTATAGTTGGAAGCTAAGGATCTGTCACCTGCCTTGTAAATAGGTATTACATTTGCCATTTTCCACTTATCAGGCACTATGCCAGTTTGTAGTGATATGTTAAAAAGATTAGCCAAAGGCATGCTAAGTTCCTCTTTACATTCCTTTAACACCCTTGCAAACAGTTCATCAGGGCCTGGGGATTTGTTAGGTTTTAGTTTCTCTATTTGTCTGAGGACCATGTCACTAGTTACCGCAATCGTACATAGTTTATCATCCTGTTCTACGTAATCTACTATTTCTGGAATTTTGCTAGTATTTTCCTGGGTAAAAACTGAGAGGAAGTAGGTATTGAGAATTTCACACATATCCTTATCACTGTCAGTGATGTGACCAGAGTTACTCTTAAGTGGGCCAATTAAGACAACTCTCATGGTATTATTTTTTATATAGTGAAACAAAGTCTTCTGTTATGTTGTCTTGTGTTTTCTACCATCTTTCTCAGTTGTTGTGGTACAGTGGTCCCAGTTCATCAACTTTTTCTAATTTATTTTAGTTCAGTTATCCTTCCCTGATGTAACTCACGAAATCGTATTGACACGATTGCAAACAAACCATACCACAGGCGGGATTTGAACCTGCGGTCAGAGAGTCTCAAAACTCCAGACCGTCGCGTTGGCCCCTGGACCAGCTAGCCACAATAAGATTCATCCAACTAGGTATATTTCTACACCATAGGAAGGTTAACCTTCCTATGGTGTAGGAATATACCTAACTCCAGACCGTCACGTTAGCAACGGTCTGGAGTTTTGAGACTCTGACCGCTGGTTCAAATCCCGCCCGTGGTATGGTTTCCCTGATGTACCTTTGCTTTCACCACCTGTTTTACCACCTGCCTCTTACCATCTGCCCCTGCTACCTGTTCTTTCCACTTGTGGCTGCTACTTTCTCCTACCACCTGCCTCCACCACCTGACCACTGTTCTTGCCGTCAACAGGTGCTAGCTAAGAACAATATATGGTTCTTGCTGGCGCGTCAACACCAGGACTCACCCAGCACCTCACTTAACTGGGAGGAGATGGAGAGTCTGTTCTGCCAGCAGACTACACCAACACCGACGTCCTCGCCCTCCAAGACCTCCAGGGATGCCAAAGATGATATCAACAAAAAGAGGGAGCCTACAGAGGTTGGTTAACTGCTTGTAAACATCTTCCACCAGAACCAGTGTATGGGTGGGGTTTGAACCCGTGGTGATGGGTAAAACAGGCCAGTGGGTTCACCACTGAACCATTTGGTTCTAATGAGACTCATACAGCTTATTCCTTGCGAAGTATTGAAAATAGGGCGAGTATATGTTTTTGTTACATGTGTCTGGTTTGAGAAGGACTTGCTTAGTATGGGCCAGTAGGCCTCCTGCAGTGCTTCTATGTTTTTTATTTTTTCTGCATGTCATAGCAAGGTTAGCATGGGCCACCACTATAACCACAAGTGATGGTTTGTACTGAAGAATCTAACACCAGCGTGACTGTATTTGCGGTCACAGTGGTGGCCCATGCTAACCTTACTATGGTGCATAGAAATATACCTAGTTGGATGTAATTATTAAAACCAGGTGGTCCAATGGTTAGCGCACTGGCCCGTGCTTTTTAGGACTCGCCATGGGTTCGA